CTGGCAGCAGAAGGGTTCTGATTGGAAGCTGAGAATGTGGTTCTGGAACATAATAGTGTCCAAAGCTGCTGAGAGCTCAAGCACAGTGAACAGACCCTCAGGTTTTCCAAGAAGGAGGTAGAAATTGCCTTTGAGTCTGTGGCAGGGAGAAGAAAACCCAGAAGCAACAAGTCAAAGAATGAATGGGAGATGAGGAATGATCAGACTAAATGTGGACGACCTACCCTCTCGTGATATTTGGGGAAGAGAGTGAGGAGTCAGGGTCAGGGTCTGGAGTGTGGGAGTGAGAGCAGGTTTGGTGAAAACAGGCTTAAAGATCTTCAGCATAAAGTTAAAAGCAAAGGGGTGAGAGTTAATGAAATCACTCAGTAAAAGTGTGTAGAGCAAGAGGAGAAATGTACCTAGCCAGGACCTTCCTGAGTAGACATAGTTTTGCTGAGTATAAAATTCCAGGTTGTCAGTTTTCTCTTGGTGCTAGGTAATCTGTCTTTCCTCCCTGGTGATTTGTAGATTTTCTTTTTATCATTAGTTCTTCTTTTTATTTATCTTTCTTTGGGCATATTTGTTTTCTTAAACCTGAGTATCTACAACTTTCACCAGTTCTGGAAAAGTCATGGATATCTTCACTCCAAAGATACCTCTTCCTCATTTTCTGTCTCCTCTCATTCTGTGATGCTCACCAGACATACATTAGTTCCTCTAACCATTGCCGGTCTCTCTTAACCTCTCTTCTATAGTTTTAATCTCTCTGTCTTTTTGTGCTGCATCTGGACTGATTTCTTTATCTTTTAGTCTATTCTTTCTCCCTCTCTTAGTTATTATTTTTGCCCAAATTACACACACACGTAGTTCAAAGAGCCAAATAATTCTACAAGGCTTATGGCAAAAAACAGTAGTTTCCTGATAATTGTTCCTTATTTTCTATTCCTTGGGAACTTTCAAAACTTTTAATGGAATCTTTGAACATTTGCCCCCATAAATCTAAATAACAGCCCTGAATCACTACTTTTTGGCTTTTCAGTTGTGGCATGATCTATTGTTCTTGTACCAAGGAGGATGTCGATTGAGCTCTATTTCCCTTCCTTCTCAACACACACATTTCCCTTGATCAGCATCAGATACTTGGTTACATTAGTATTAAATGTTTACACATAAATAAATAATTTTTTTTTCTTTAGTTGGAGTCTCACTCCCTCGCCCTGGCTCACAGCCACCCCAATGTCAACCTGCTGGGATCCAACGATCCTTCTGCCCCAGCCTGCCAAGTAACTGGAACTACAGGTGCACGCTACCATGCCCAGCTAGTTTTTTTTTGAGTTGGAGTCTCACTCCATCACCCAGGCTGGAGTGCAGTGGCATGCTCACAGCCACCCCAGCGTCAACCTGCTAAGCTCAGGCAATCCTTCCGCCTCAGCCTTGCAGGTAGCCAGAACTACAGGCACATGCTACCACACCTGGCTAATTTTTTTTATTTATTGTAGAGACAAGGTGTTGCCTTGTTGCCCAGGCTGGTCTCGAACCCGCAGGCTCAGGCAGTCCACTCGCCTCAGCCTCCCAAAGTGCTGGGATGACAGTCTGAGCCACCGAGCCCAGCCCATTTTTCCTCCTTTTTATCAATTGTTTTACCCCAAAGAGTAATTTTCAATCTTTTGCCACGCTGGCCAGGTGCTTGGGATGGGAAAGGGTCTAAGGCTTATTGCCTCCTGAACAGAATTTCAGCCGGTTGTCTTCCTCTCACTCAGCATCATTCTACTTCAGAGAACCTGGAGCCAAATACAGAGGCTTCAGAAGCTGCTTCTCTGTTCTCTCCTGCTTGCTGAAGGCTTGGGGTTCTCTGGTCTTCCAAGCCAGTTACTCTCACCCTCTGCCTTCCAGTGTCCTCGCCTTCTGCCATTTTCCCTCTTTCGTCTCTCCATCCTGGTGGCTGGGAGGCTCAGAAGGAATCTTCCTGTTCCCCGCTGTGCTCGAGAGAGGGATGTGTCTCTACCCTTTCCCTCGTGGAGTGAACTGGTTTCTAATTCAGTGGGGAGGCTGCCTCTCGGGGACCCACACTTTACATGGGTGGGGTCTCTGATCCAACTCTCACCTTTTGTAGCCCAGACTTTGTCTCCTGTCTCCTTCGTGAGCAGCACATTGGAACCCACGCTCTGGGCCACTCGGGACGGGCAGACGTACCAGGATGGCACTTAACAGCTGCAGAACTCACCTCTCTGGGCTCCCAATTTCTTGTCTTTTTGGCCTCTGATGGATGTGTCCTTTACCCTCCTGTTGGCTTGATGTGCATTTTATTTATTTATTTATTTAATTTTAATTTTTTTTTTTTTGAGTCGGAGTCTCACTCTGTCACCCAGACTGGAGTGCAGTGGCCGCTCCCAGCCACCGCAGCCTCGACATGCTGGGCACCGGCAATCCTTCCACCTCA